AGCATAAATTTAGCCAGGGGCAATATCCTAGAACAAAATAAAAAAAAAAAAAAAACAGTAATCTCACAGTAGTCTGCTGTATACAGTGGTGTGCTCATGAAACGATCAGTAAATAAATCAGCTTTTGATTGTTATTACCATTTCCTCATATCAAAATAAAAAAAATTTGTGGAATATGCATGTGTACATAGATAATACATGTTTTTCAGTCCTGTGGTTAATTTACAAATCAATTTTAACTGTCAGGTTTACGGGAAACCATGTGAGTGGAGGATTATAGGAAGGAGCTGTGGAAGAATTATTTGCACAAACAAGCAAATAAAATCACTTACAAGATCTGGTAAATGTTAAGATCTTTTAAAAATATATAGCTGTAAAATCAAATCTTAGTAACAAGGAGTACACTCTGCACATGTAGACAGTTAACATTATGATTTAAAATTCTAGCATGCCTCTGAATTACTGAAGAATCACATGGGGAAACTATTATTAATTTGTTCATTGTACAGTTTTTCATTAAAGAAGCATTTTTTTCCATGATTACTATAGACTAAGTGGGTTAATAAAAGCTATGAATGTACATATGATCTTGTCTCATTTTCTCATTGTCCATGATTTCTTTTGTTATTTGAACTAATAAAATTTTCCTGTGGTCACCAAGAAGAGTCCATCTAATATTAAATCCTCTCTGCTAGAAATAGCACCATAGGTGAAGGTTCTAATATGTATTTACTTTAATGGCTTTTAAAAGCCCCATTCAAATAATAATAAATTTTACCTAAAATTATAAAGCTTACAGAAGCTTATATAATGACCCTCATATAAAAATGCTGACTCTGTAGCAAATAAAATTATGTCAAGAAGAACCTTTAGATGGCCTACTTCTTCACCTGGTTTGAAAAAATATATATTTTGACATTATAAAAAGTCCATGATAATTTATATAATATATATAATTGTACAAAAATTTTGTACAAATTTTAAAGGCTATAAAAATTAAACAATTATTTGTCAACTTCTCAGTACCAAGTTAACTTAGTTAGGTTTTCTAGTTGCTGCTCAATGAAAAGATAAATTTGCAATTTCTCCTGCTCAGAATAGAGCCTAAATGATGTATAATAGGCTCTAGGGATGTAATAGAAGGGAGCCAATATTATGGCATTGACTTTAGGATTAAAGAAAGGAAACAGCTCTGCTCGTAGATGGTCACAATAATCAAGAGGAAGGACAATAAGAAGTTCTATTTCCACAAGTGGAACCCTTTCTCCTTGTTTTTTTTTTTTTTTTTTTTTTTTTTTTAATAGAGACGAGGTTTCACCATGTTGCCCAGGGTGGTCTTGAACTCCTGAGCTCAGGTAATCCGCCTGCCTCTGCCTCCCAAAGTGTTGGGGTTTCAGGTGTGAGCCACCACACCCGGCCTCCGCTTGTTACTGTCTCTTTCTTTTCTCCTCTCCTTCTCTGTCTGCCCCTAATCCCTTCCCCACTCAAGGTGGTCATGGTCACAGCCACAGAGGCTGCTCCTCACCTGCCCCCAAAGGGGGCTTTGGCTCCACCCTGGGCCATAGTGAGGGGGATGCCCAGAGCCTGGCAGGGGCTAGAGGTAGGAGGCCTGGGCCTGCTCAGCCGTCTCCCATCCAGGCTGGAAAGGCCGTGTCCTCCTCAGTGCCCGACAGCAGTGGTCCCGGTGGGGACACACAGCAGTCTTCTTAGCACGGGAAGGACATCCTGGTCCTGGCAGGAGGGGCATCCAGAGGTCATCCTGTCCTTCCCTTGCCCCAGGACAGGCTGGCTGGGGTTTGCCTGTCTGGGAAGATCCTTTCATTGGCCTCCCTGTCCCCATGGATGGTTGTCCCTGAGCCCATTAACCTGGAAGTCCTTTCTCAGGTCTACCCTGCATCCTGCATGCTGTAGGGCCAAGCAGGTGAATAGCTCTCTCCTCTTGTGCTTTCCCTATGATTGGGCTTATCTCTTCCAGCTTCAATGGGGGTCTCAAGTCATTTCCTCTTTGCCTGTTTTTTTTTTCTCTTTACCCCTTGATCATGGAGCTGTCCCCTGCCTCCTCCTTTTCCTCCTCTCATTTTCCTCCAAGTTCCTTTGAAGTCACAAACTGCCATCCTTATCCATGAAGCTGGGCCTGGAGGGAGAGGAGGACTCTCGCCCTCTTCCCTGCTGCTCTGAGCAGCAGGATGGACTGCTGGGGAGTGGTGGGGATGTGGACCTTCTGTGGGTCTCTTTATAAGTCTGTGGTGGTCCATGCTGGGACCATCCTAGGGGCTTCTGGGAGTAGGGAGAAGCCAAGAGTGGAGTTCATTCTGTGTATGGGGGAAGCCCCCGAACCCTGGCTCAGCATGAGCCAGACCCTCTGCAGGGAAGGAGGGGTGTAGTCCCTCCTTCCTGCAGGAGAAAGAGGAGTCGGGAGAGCGGTTTCTGTTTAACACAGGGAGAAGAGAGAGAGTGGGGACATGCCTGGCCTGGAGCTGGGCCAGCCATATAACTAATTTGTGGTGCAGTGCGGGCGAGGGGAGCTGTCTGCTGTGACACCAAATTAGCCCTGGAGTGACTTTCTTTCCCATTTCCTAAGCCCAGGGGGCTGGTGAAACTTAGGAGTGGGATCCCAGCCTCAGGCCACTGCTGCTCCACCCCTTTCCCTTAGCAAAGGTCCCCGGGTTGGGCTCTACCAACCCCTTTTTGGGGAGGCAGCAGCTCTTTGGGTCTGGGGAGTGAAGGATGGAGGCAGAGCCCTCAGCATCCAGAGATGCTTCCAGGACAGCTACTGGCTCCTGACCTTGAGGCCCCCTTACTCCAGGGCCTCCCCTCCCACCTCTGCGTGCTGTTTAGCCCCACACGGTGCCTGTGTCTCCCCTCAACGCCCCCTCTAGGAAGCCGGTGAACATGACCAAGGCCACCGTCAACTACCGCCAGGAGAAGACGCACATGATGAGCGCCGTGGACCGCAGCTTCACAGACCAGAGCACGCTGCAGGAGGATGAGCGGCTGGGACTGTCCTTCATGGACACCCATGGCTACAGCTCCCGGGGTGAGTGCCCGGCCCTCCTACCCCTTCCTCATGGCTCTGGGGCTCCCAACCTGAGACAGTAGGATCCCCATATCAGATGAGTTCTGTAACACCTCCAACCCAAAGTAAAGCATCTATTATCCTCCTGCTGGATACCTGCTGGATACAGAGACAGCACAGGTGGGGTTTTTGCACTGTGTCCTGGAGGAGCTTGTAAGGAATTCTGCTAGCATAAGAGGAGTACGAGGTCCGTTGTGACAACTGTCAAAGAGGAGGCGCTGCTGCAGGAACAGGGATCAGAGTGGCCTCACCCCTTGTTGAGCACCTGTTATGTGAGAGGTGGGGATACAGTGGCTGAGAGAGATGGAGATAGAGTCAGACCTGGGCTTGCCTCTCCCTTTCTTAGCTCTGTGACCCGGGGCAAGTCGCTTAAGCCCTCTGGATATCTGTTTCCTCGTGTATAAAATGGGAATGAAGATTGCCTCTGCTGGTAGGGCGGATGTGAAGACTAAATGAGATAATGTGTGCAAAATCACTCAGGGCTGTGCTTGCATTCGCAGAATATGGTGAGTCAGCCGTCAGATACTAGGTTTGTGTCATAACTGGCTTCATTCTGCATCTTTTCTGTTTAGTGTTGATTCGTACAGAAGAGAATATGTAATGTTTCTGAAAGTCATAAAATTATAACAATACAACAAACACCAATGAACCTCATTGGTTAATTAGAACATTATCTTGGTACACTTCCCTAGCTATGTCCCCTACCTCTTTCTTAGCTGTAAATATTCTCTTGAATTTTTTTTTTTTTTTTTGAGACAGCTCACTGTAACCTCCACCTCCCAGGTTCAAACGATTTTCTTACCTCAACCTCCCAAGTGGCTGGGATTACAGACACCTGCCACCACACCCAGCTATTTTTTTGTATTTTCAGTAGAGACAGGTTTCACCATGTTGGCCAGGCTGGTCTCGAACTCCTGACCTCAAGTAATCTGCCTCTCTCTGCCTCCCAAAGTGCTGGGATTACTGGCATGAGCCACTGTGCCCAGCCTCCCTTGAAATTTGTGATTTTAATTTTCTTAACTTTTTAGGGAGTAGTTTTACTATGTGTGCATGTATCTCCAAATAATGCATTATATAGTTTTGCTCATTTTCCGGCTTTATAGAAATGAAATCACACTATACTTTTTAACTCAACATCATATTTCCAAAATTTACCCATGTGGATGTTTTGCTGCAGTTCATTTACTTTCTCTGATGTGCAGTTTCCCATTGTATGGCTAAATCACAATTTACTTCTCCATTCTGCCATCCATGGGCATTTGATTGGTTTTCAGTTTTCTTGTTATCACAAATGAGACTGCTGCGAATATTCTGATGTGGATCTCTAGATGCACCTGCATACAAGGTTCTAGAAATAGAATCGCTGGATTATGGAGTACGTGCATCTTCAGCTTAATAAGAGTGCCAAGTTGCTTTCCAAAGTGGCTCTGCCTGTTTTCTTTCCTAGCAGCAGTGTGTCAGACTTTTCTGTTGCTCTACATCAAGATCAAATTTGCCAGCCTTCTTCACTTCTGCCACATTAGTTTGTATAAAATGGTAATTCTCTATAGTCTTAATTTGCATTTCACTGATTACTAATGAGATTGAACATATTTTCAAGTCATCACTGGCCATTCAGGTCTCTTTTTCCGTGAAATGCCTGTTCATGTCGTTCACCTAATTTTCTATTGGGTTTTCTGCTGCTTTCTTAGTGGTTTTTAGGAGTTCTTTATATATTTAGGATAATAATCATTTGTCACTTATGAATTGCAAATATCTTCTCTCAATTTGTGGCTTATCTTCCTAGATTATTTATAGCGTCTTTGGGTGAACAGATTTTTATTTTCATGTACTTAAATTCATCAGTCTTTCTTTGTGATTTCTACTTTTGTGTTTTTTAAAAGAATTTTTCCCTATCCAAAGTCATAAAGTATTTTTTTTTGCTTTTTTTTTCTAGAACTTACAACATTTTACATTTTATATTTAAATCTTTATCCATCTGGAATTGATTTTTGTGTGTGGTGGTATAAATTAAGGGTTTTATTTTTTCCATGGCGATAAGGCACTGTCCCAGGATCATTTATTACAGTTCACGCTTTCCCTGCTGATTTGTAGTGGCACACTCATACATCACATTTCTACAGATATGTGGATCATTTTTTAGTTCCCTGTTTCTTTCATTGGTCAGCTTGGTTGATTTCCATGCTAGTACCACGCAATCTAATTATTGATACTATCTAGGTCTTGCTATTTGAAACAGGAAGCTCTCCCAACTTTGTGCGTCATCAAGGATGTCTTGGCTATTTTTGTTTTCATTCTCTCTCTCTCTCTTTTTTTTTTTTCCTCAGAAAGAATGTCCGATAGGACAAGGACTCTCTTTCTCTTTCT